GAAAAAAAACATTGTCGGGTATTAGGAAAAACTTGTTTGATAGCTCCTCCTATTTGTGCATCTTGATCGGTGATAATTACTTTTGGTGCAACCCCATGCATGCATTTTAGCCATTGGGTGAACAACCAAATAAAGGTATCCTTTTGCTCATCTGCAAGTAACACACAACCAAAGAGAATGGACTGTCGATGATGATTTACCCCTGTGAATGGAGCAAACGGTAGGCTCAAATGATTGGTTTTATATGTAATGTCAAACACCACTACATCTCCAAAAAATTAAGTAAGAAGATCTTGATCTCCCATCAGCCTAAAACACGCTCCTCATAGTCCCCGACTGATCTAGCTCTATGGAAAAGTAAAATTATAAATCAATTTTCTTCCTACCTTGAAAATTCTTTAAGATGGATATGCATTCATTACCAATGTTGTTCTTCCTAATAGTTCGGATGTGATCAATACATTGTTGTGAAGTAATATATTCTTCATGAAGACTCTTGGATACAACATTATACACTTGAGCAATAGTAGAAGGAGTCATTCCTTCTTCACTCAAATTCTCAATAATTCTCTTGCAAGTCTTCGAGTGATGCCTTTGCCTGTGGGAATAATGATTAAACACTTTATCAGGGCTCGATAATAGATGGGTTGGGTGCTCTTTCTCAAACTTCGTGACAATCCATGTCATGGAGGAAGTCAACTTAATCTTCATTCTTGCGGGACAATCCACTCTAGTATCTGGACGACGATTGACAAGTTTCCCACACTCTCTCTTATCTGATAACCTTTTCTACTTGCCTTGTTGCAAATAAAAACTTGAGAAATGATTTCTCTTGACTTTCTTGACTTATCGGATGTTTCCTTGCGGATTCCAAAACGCATTTTTTTGCATAAGAATTGCAATAGTTGTATGTCTCCTCTAATGTAGCAAATTTGTTTCCCCTCGTATGGCGCCTCTCCTATAAAAGTCATCTCATTCGAGCCTACAAGAGCTGTATGCAATTCACCATCAACATCCATAAAATTTTGGATATAATTTTCACTTAGTCCAATGGGTAGCACATCATCTGTTTTAACATTCATTGTCCTCTCGTAGCCTTAAAACATTCAAAGAAGTAGCAATTTACATAGCAGAAATTAGAACTAACATGGTGTAAGATAGAACTAACATGAAAGAAATTAGAACTAACATGTCATAATGACGAACTAACATGGTATAAACTATAACTAACATGACATAAACTAGAACTCACATGGTATAAACTAGAACTCAAATGACATAAATTCACAACTAATAATTATTTAATTAATTTGAATTGAATCTATGATAGATGCAGCAAGCAACGAAAAGAGATTCAAATAAACAAATCAAAAGCTCTAACATTAAAACTAATTGAGCAATAAGCCGATAACATTTTATCTTGGGTGCTTTGAAAGAGAACTTCTATCCTAGAAGTAAGATCGGCCTAAATTTGAATTCTCTCTATCCTAGATCTGATAAGATATTTTTACCCTAAATTTGACAATTATCCGCTTATAAAATTCTGGGTTTTCTCACTCTAACAGTAGCTTTTTAAGGTATAAGTATATTGGGTCTCTTACAAATGGTATTACAGTCAACCTTATCTGCACATTCAACTAAACAATTAATGACCAAACAAAACAATACCCAAAAAAGAGACATTTTTATTCAAAATTTTCACAGCAGCCAGCTTTAAGGATATTTTTATCCAACAATACCCAAAAACGAGATAACTTTCTAAGCAGATCCGATCAAAAAGGTAAGGGGAGGTTGGTGAGGGTGTTCGTCATCATTGGAAGTGGACAAAGGCGAGTAGCAGAGAGGGGTTGGCTGATACTCGACGGAGAAAGTGCGACGTCGACGTTGCAGAGGCTGATAAGAGAGAATGAGAGAAGAGAGTGATGAGAGAGAAATTTAGATGGGGAAGGAGGTTAGAGAGAGAGAGAGAGTGATGAGCGTTTACACATAGAGAGAGTGATGAGCGTTTACAAAGAGAGAGAGAGAGAGAGAGAGAGAGAGGGAGAAGAGAAGAGAGTGATAGCTGTCTTCCACTTTTCAACAATTGGGTTTTTGTACAAAATTACCTCAGCCCATTCAAATTAGATCTGTGGCTGAGATTAAGCCACATCAGCTCAGAAGAGAGTGATAGCTGTCTTCCACTTTTCAACAATTGGGTTTTTGTACAAAATTACCTCAGCCCATTCAAATTAGATCTGTGGCTGAGATTAAGCCACATCAGCTCCATAGGAGGAAACTCCCTCCTATGTCAATGACGTCCATTAAATTCAATATATATATAATTTATTTGGGGGTGAGAGGTTATTTTCTTCGTAAAGAAGAATAGAATATCTACGGAAAATAATCGATCATAAACCAAGCATCTAAGGATTGAAAGTTGTGGTGCTATCAGCTCATATGTGTGATATCAATTCTTCCAAGCCGACTATAGATGCTACTGCTCTAGAGATGAAAATAAAATATAAAATTACATATAAAATATATAGAATTATTCTGAATAAATTATTATCTTCATTTATACCCACGTTTTCTTATTGAATCCCTTTGATTTTTTTTTCTTGCTTATAAATACTACGTATTTATTGTTTTAAAAAAGAGTGTGATTATTTTGTAACAAGATCCACTTTTGATAAAATTTTGCATTAATAACAAAACAACAAGAGTTAGGAGACCTGTCACGTACCAAAATAATACTTATAAGTTCCTTTATTAAGTACAAAATTATTTCAGCTATTGTCTCATGATTAAAGCTCGAATTACCCTATATATTAAAAAAAAAAAATCATGTCTCAAGTTTCATTATCGTGCAGACCACGAGCTATGCTAGAAGTATTATCAATAACAATATATTATACATGATTGCTAACGCATAGAAACTTGTATGCGGAATATTCGACGCGGCAGAGGACCGTTAGGAAGATGATGAACGTGCCAATTATAAAGCAGGTTGGCGACAAGTGGCCACCTCACGCCGACACTTGAAACAATAAGAAAATAATTTAAATAAAAATAAAACAAAAACTTTCGCTTTCACTTTACAAAAAATAAAACTAGGCAATGTTTTTTGCAAAACAATAATTTCACAAGAGCGCATGAAAACAAGGAATGAGGAGTAGGAGCCCATGATGGGTCCTGAAATTAATACCTTTTTGGCTCTAGCTATTTAATTACAGGGTTGGTAATGATAAGATTAGCTTTAGTTTTCGGAACTGCTATACTCTACATTATTTGTTAAAAATTATTTTTAATTAGAGGATATCCATTCGTGGATACGTAACCCGACCCGTTAGCGGATTTCTCTTGCGTGATGGTTGAATGCTAGTCCCGTGCGGGTGAGTTTCGTTTAACAACGTTTTTGACTTGCTTAGCCCTTAAAGTTAATGTTTAACTTATTTTTTACGCTAAAAGGCCACCCTTCGTTAAGATGTAAATTTAATCTTACTTTGACTCTCCGTTAAAATTTTTGTTAAATAAACATTAAAAAGACAATACTACCCTAATAGCTATTATGCATGAATTGTATCCTCATGGTTATTTAGGCATTCGAATAGTTTTCTCCGAAATGAGAGAAACAGAGCCTGCAAGAAATTAATGTCTACCACTAATATACGACAGTCAAGTTACCACAAGAAATATATGTATATATATATATATATACATGTATACATATATATATACATGTATACATGTATATATACATGTATACATATATATATATATATGGGTCATGTGAATCTGCGGTGACTCCGTAGGCTGTCATCTGAGGATGCGCGATCTGGGCCGTTTATTCAAAACCCCTCAGAGAGATCTGAGCCCTTCGTTGAAAATCCCATCCCCCTAAAATCCCTACCCTTCTCTCATCTCTCCCGCTCAGATCACCTCCCGCCTCCTCCTCTCCAGCGCCCGAAATCGCCGCCGGAGCTCGCCGCCCCCGATCAGCGTCGCCGCCGGCTCAAGATCACGCATTCGGTCGCCATCACCCCCCCTCCTACTCACCACCGTCCGAAAGCGTCGCCGCCCAAGCTCAGCCAAGCCCTCGACGTCCCCATTCAGCGTCGCCGCCATCGAGCTCAGCCCTCGTCATCAGCCACGCCTCCGACGGCATTTGAGCTCAGCCCTCAGGTTCATCGCCGCCTCCGGAGCTCGACCAAGCCCTCGATGTTAGCCCTCATGGCTTCGAACAAATTGAAAGCGTCGATGTCTTCGAATTCTTCAAAATCAAAGCATACCTCTTCTAAATGCAATAATCCTCCAACTTCGTAAGTAATTTTTTTGAAGAAGTTCAAATGTTTGTGTTAATATGCGTCGAAAGTTGAAATTGCTGCCGACGCCTACTGATGTCTGTGTCAACAAGTCATTGCTTGATGAGATATATCCCCTTGCATGTGTTTCTCCCCTTCCCCAAATCTATTATGAATTATATAGTTGTTTGGTTAGATATAGAAACCCCGTATGAAACTTTGTCTGTCAGTCTAATGATGAAATTATGATATTTTATCAGAGTGCCCCTATCATATGCGGCGGTGTTGTAAGCTATGATGTATAATGTTTGTGTTGATAAACTTGTTAATATGCGTCTTAATTTGCCCAAATATATTTAATTTTTAACTCTTTCTGAATTATAATTTTTTTGTAAGCCATGATGTATAATGTTTGTGTTAATAAACTTGTTAATATGCGTCTTAATTTGCCCAAATATATTTAATTTTTAACTCTTTCTGAATTATAATTTTCTTGTAGGGATAAGATAACACACTTGAGAATTCCGGTCAATTTGTGTTATTTTCGAGATTTAATTGATAAGCGAATAATATTAGATGAAAGACACATAAAAGCCCTATAGACGACACCTTTTCACAACTTTCTCAATATACCCATATCCTTGAGCAATGAGCAAATAGCAATTGATTGCTTGATTCAAAATTTTAATCCCGATAAATGCTCATTCATGATTAGGAATAAAAATTGTGTGTTCGGTATAGATGATATTCACCGAATTACCGGATTGCCAAAGGAGGGAATTCCGATAAAAATGAGTGGGGCAGCGGCTAATACAATCTACACCTATTTTGTAAAGAATTATAAGAAAGCCGATGAGGAAAAGAAGGCGGTGATTTCGGGGAAGCGCGATAGAATGGCCGAGATGATTGTAGATATGATTAATGAAGACCCTATAATATGTGTGAAACTTATTGTGGCTTTCATTATCGGCTTCATATTATGCCCGCGGACATGTAAGACATGTCCCTTGTGGGCGTTTAGATATGCGGAGCAGTTATCAACTTTGCATAAATATAATTGGTGCCATGCGGTGTTCACTCTTCTTTGCAAAGAGATGAGTAAATCAAAGAAGTCTCTTAGTATGCGGGAATTAGGTCAGCGCTCAAATGCCGGGTACATGGGTGGTTTTTCCTCCGTTTTACTGGTGAGTTACATGAACATTATTTTGTATATCTTTTCATTTTGATAATGATTATTGTTTATGCACATGCTAATGTGTAGTTTCTTTTTTGTAGGTTTGGTTTTATGAAAAAGTAGGGGAATTAGAGTACACTTCAGATATTGAAAGGTTACCGCCGCTCTTTTGTGTGAAGAGTACTGGAAAGTGGAGGAGGACTACTATGAACAAATTATATAGAGTCCCGAAGTTGGTTACGGATAATGGCCAAGAGAATACTCCTCTTATTCATACGGCATCGCCAATAGTATTTGTACATATCGTTGCTCTAATAGTTCATTATTTTATGTCCCTTTTGTTAGTATCTATGTTTGCAACTATAGTATACGTACTAATACTAGCTTTTTTTTGTCAAATAGGAATCAAGGAAAGCTGAATTAATTTTCTTAATTGCGGAGAAGACGTACGAGTTGAATGAGCTCACTACAGAATTACGAGAATTAGAAGAGCGTAGTGCTAGATGCCAAAAAAAACCAAGGAGAAAGAGGATGACGGAAATGTAACTGAAGAAAAAAAAATCAAAGAGGATATGGAAGCTAAGGAATATGAGAATTTGGAAGGAACTGGGGAAGCCGATTTATGTGATGACTTTGTGATGAGCGCAAGAGACGTGAGAATTTTAGAAGATGCTCGGTGAGTTTAGTTTTTTAAATTTTCTTGCAATTTTAATTTTTATATTTTCCATATAATTCTTGTGTAACTCTTTGTTAATTATATGCCTTCTCGACTCTATAGAGATGTTTCTCAAAAAGATGAAGGTGGTAATGAGAATAACAGAGAAACGCCATCTATCAAACGGGCTGTCGGAAAGAGGGAGAGGAAGGATGGACCCTCTGTTACTTCACCTTATATGCCTCTAGATCAACCAAAGGAAGGCACAAAGAAGAGACGTGTCATCCAGATATTGGATAGTCCTGATGGGAAAAAAAAGTACAAAAATGAAGAAGGCTTCATACCTACATCTAGAGACTATCCAGGTAAGGCACTGGCGTTTGATTATGAGAACAAATTAATTGAAGACTTTCTACAATCGAGAATGAACAGGTAACTGTTACTGACTTATTCTAATAATAATCTTTGAATTTACTTAATTCTAGTAGCAATTTTCTCACAATGTACTTGCATATAGTGATACGTACATTTGAAAGTGTGCCGAAGCAAGCGTATCCCGCTTAGATGCTTATATACTATTAACGGGAGGTGAACTCAGTGACGATGTAGGTTCTAAACAATTGTGTTATTGATTGTTTGATGTTGTATATAAAATAATTTATATTAACTATTTTATTCATTCATGGTAATTTTTGTAGGTGATCGATGCATTTGTTATTCGGCTTTGTAACAAGATTGAAACAAGTGATAGTTATGATCGAAAGATACATGTCACAAGACCTTGGCTTGCAGTAAGTATATCCTTGTTTTTTTCACTAATTGGTGGATATTATTATTATGTTATCCCACAATGTTGACATTATTGCATCTTTTAGCAAGCATTTCTAGAAGGAAATCTTGAAATGGTGGCAAAACGAATGAAGGAAAATGTTTCTCAGCAGAAGTTCTTGGAGTGTGAAAGAATTCTGATCCCGATTGTCAGCTCCGGACATTGGCACCTGGTAGAGTTAGTGAGAGAGGAGACAAAATTCTATCACTACTCCTCAATCAACTCCCCCATTTATACCGCCGATGCTGTAAAATTTAGAAATAAGTTTATGAGTTTCATTGAGAGTAATTGGGGATTGGGGAAATTGGAGCATCATGGTCTTGTGTCAGTTGCCGTGCCACAACAAGGACCGTAAGTGTTTCATGCATTTCTAATTTAATTGTTTATTTTTTTTGTTCATAGTCATTTTCAATATTCTAATATTTTTCCCCTAAATGCAGAATGTTAGATTGCGGGATCTTTATGATTGAATTCATTAACAGCATTGTCGAAAAATGGTCGATAATAATTTCAAAAGGAGATTGTGCAAAATATAGAGCAAAGTTTTGTGCTGCTCTTTTGTATGCACGCGATTCACCTTTTTTATAAATATTATTTTAATTTTCTCCTAGGTTTTTGTTGTGTATTCAATGTTGTAAGTATGTTCATGTTGTTAATATGTTGTTAATTGTTTTGCGTGTACATTTACAGACAACTACGTTGTTGTTGTGTGTTGTAAGTATTTTCATGTTAAATGAGAAGTGAGCTAGGGCTAACATAGCCACCAGAGCAAACACTTGTGCTAGAAATAACACACTTGTGCTAGAAATAACGCCAGCCCATAGTAGAACTAACTCGAGAAGGGATAGAACTAACAGGAGGGAAGCTAGAACTAACAAGCGTGAGGTAGGGCTAACATGGCCACCAGAACAAACACTTGTGCTAGAAATAACGCCAGCCCGTAGTAGAACTAACTCGAGAAGGGATAGAACTAACAGGAGGACAGCTAGAACAAACAAGCAGTAAGGTAGGGCTAACATGGCTACCAAAACAAACACTTGTGCTAGAAATAACGCCAGCCCGCAGTAGAACTAACTCGAGAAGAGATAGAACTAACAGGAGGGCAGCTAGAACAAACAAGCAGTGAGGTAGGGCTAACATGGCCACCAAAACAAACACTTGTGCTAGAAATAACGTCAGCCCGTAGTAGAACTAACTCGAGAAGGGATAGAACTAACAGGAGGGCAGCTAGAACTAACAAGCAGGTAGGTAGGGCTAACATGGTCACCAAAACAAACACTTGTGCTATAAATAACGCCAGCCCGCAGTAGAACTAACTCGAGAAGGGATAGAACTAACAGGAGGGCAGCTAGAACTAATAAGAAGTGATCTAGGCCTAACATAGGCAATAGAACAAACACTTGTGCTAGAAATGAAGCCAGCACGAAGTAGAACTAACTCGAGATGGGCTAGAACTAACAGGGGGGAAGCTCGCGTACTAACTAGGAGTGGGCTAGGGCTAACATGGCCGCGTGAACAAACACTTATGCTAGAAATAACGCCAGCATGAAGTAGAACTAACTCGAGAAGGGGTAGAACTATTCAGGAGGGCAGCTAGAACTTACATATTCAATAGAACCAAAACTTAAACTAGAACTTAAAGTTATCTGGAGGTGGAAATAACACGAGATCAGCTAGAACTATCACATTTAATCTAGAACTAACATAGTCATTAGAACACAACTAGAACTAACATAGGCATTAGAACCCACATTTAAACTAGACCTTGCGTTAGCTAACACGAGAATGGCAAGAACTAACACAGAAATGGCTAGAACGAACATTAACCCAGGTAGAACTAACATATTCAATAGATCCAACACTTAAACTAACATTATTCACTTGCACTTGGCTGTGAAAATTACCGAGATATTATAGGTTTGACTGCATTCATTGTTTTTGCATAGTTCCCAAGGTTGAAGAGTTAACTCACCTTGCAAAAGTGCAGTCCCAAGGAGGAGAGTTAAGATAACCTGGTCCGGAACCTATCCCCACATCCCACGCGGCAACATCACCATCCCCAAAGCCTGTTGATCCCCAGGATAGGATTGATTACCTTTTTGGCGCAATCTTTTTTTGATCTCCCCATCGCCGACTCTCTGTAGACTCTTCCTCATTTATTTGTAAACCTCATACTTTTACCCTCTCCCCTACACCTTCAAGTTCCCTTGTATATATGGCGTTGTAAAATCATGGCTAGTTCCTGTACATCCGATGAAGGTCATGGCCTGCCTGGGAGTCTTTTGTCCTTTTTACGGTCAAAGACTAACCGGCAACGCGTGTTAGGCGTTGTCTTTGGGATTTTTGGTAAACCCCCAGCCTTCAACGGATTTGACTAGCCTTTACCAACTACCGTTTGAGTCGGGCTAGTATGCGGATTGTTTAAATCCGTTCCGCATGTAACGTTGTGCTAAGAATCAAAGAGTTTGTACATTAACGCCCAGTTAAGATTCATAAGCGCATGGAATACGATCAATTCAGATGGGTCATGCGTGAATCACATGGGGAGGCATGCAAATGCTGGAGAGAATTGTCCTCTGGCATACGTTAACACTCTATAGCTATACAGTATTAATGTAAGCCAGAGGACTATCTTTTTGCTAGCATTTGCATGCCTTCCTAGGTGATTCACGTATTGACCCGTCTGAATTGATCGTATTCCATGCGCTTATGAATCTTAACTGTTGTTATTGCACAAGCTCATTGAAGGGAGCCAGGTATACTCACCAAAGATACTGGAACTAAGAGCAAAGACACAGATTGTACATACAGTTGACATTACTTTAATACAAGGTTGTTTTGTTAAGTCATCACGTTTTATTGTAAAGATTATGGACTGGTTGTAGTGTTATGTTTGGCGTTGTGTTGTCAAGCTTATGGACGGATTGTCAAGGTTATGTTTTGGTTTTCAACCTCTCCGATTTATTGCGAAGTTTAGCACTCTATTGTCAAGCTTATGGACTGGTTACGTAGTTTAGCACTCTGTTGTCAAATCTAATCTGTTTGTTGTTAAGCTTATCTGCTGTTTGCATTTAATTCTACTATTGTTGTGAAGCTATCTGTTGTTTAGTCTTTGTATTGTTAGGCTTATGGACTTGTTCACAAGTTTAGATCTTGGTTTGTATTGTTAGTTCCAGCTTAGTCTATATTCTTCTATTGCCCAGATTCGAGCGGAATCAGATAGAAAATGACCAGTTTGTGCCATGTTAGTTCTAAGTTATGCCATGTTAGTTCTAACTTATGCCTTGTTGGTTCTAACTTATACCATGTTAGTTCTAATCTACACCATGTTAGTTCTAATTGTTGTTTTCACTGTAATTTCTCCGCCCGAACTCGGAATGAGGTGATTTAAGATTTGTTGAAAAGCTGTTGAAGAGTCCTACAACTTTAGCAATTAGAACTAACATGGAGAATTGACAAACACTTGGGCAACGTTTTGTACCTCATTGCTATTTATAGATTCGTGTTAGTTATAAAATTGTAAGTGTTAGCTGTAGTTTAGCTCGCGTTAGTTCTACCTTATTGTTAGTTCCAGCTTAGTCAATTTTGTTCTATTGCCCATGTTAGTTCTAGCTGTCCTCCTGTCAGTTCTATTGGACTACTTTGTGGTTCTGTTAGTTCTAACTCGATTCTGGTTAGTTTTAATAGAGTAAGTGTTAGTTCTAGTCGATACCCCGTTAGTTCTTTCCCATTTATTGTTATTTCTAGCTTCGTGTTAGTTATAATATAGTAAGTGTTAGCTTTTGTTTAGATCGCGTTAGTTCTACCTCATTTCTTGCTAGCTCTAACTTCGCTTGTTCCCAAGAACACAACTATAACTAACATAGGCATTAGAACACAGATAGAACTAACATAGGCATTAGAACCCACATTTAAACTAGACCTTGCGTTAGCTAACACGAAATATGCTAGAACTAACACGGAAACAGCTAGAACGAACATTAACCCAGGTAGAACTAACATATTCAATAGATCCAACACTTAAACTAAAACTTAAAGTTATATGGAGGTGAAAATAATACGAGAACAGCTAGATCTATTACTGGAGAAGCGAAAACTTACAACAACTAAGCTTGAACTAACAAAGACGATAGAACCAACACTTAAACTATAACTAGCGCTAGCTGGCGATAGAACTAACATGAATCCAGTTAGACTTAATACGACAGATGATAGAACTAACAACATCTAAGCTAGAACTAACAAAACCAGTAAAACAAATGATTTAGGCTCCCGTATGGATACCATGGTGTTTTTTGAGCTAAATCGTCTTCAACCCAAAAACGCAACACTTTTTCTAAACACCTAAAATAAGTTTTAATTTTGGTGTTTTGGTTTTGAGTTTGAGAAGGTGTTAATATAATATCTAACATAATATATTAAATGTAATTAATATAGAGTTAATATGTTAATATAATATCTAACATAATTTATTGCTAAAATATGTTAATGTAAAAATAATATATTCATAATACCTATTTATATATATCATAAATTACTAATATATTATTAAATTACTATTAATAAACTCAGCCCTATTAAAGACCATAATATATTACATAATATTAAAATATTTATAATATATTAATTTATTAATAACATACTAGTCATAACATAATATTAACATTATTAATAATATTATATTATATGAATGAGAGTATAATATTATATTATATTAACAATAGTATAATATTATATTATACTAATAATAAAATAAGGTTATTTTAAAAATATAATATAATATATAACCATAACAATTTGATATACCAAAATTGTTAAATATATAATTATTTGAAAATAATATGTAATAATTATAATATAATATAACTCATTAAGTACAATAGAACATTATAATACATTATACAATTTTATATTGTATTATATTTAATACTTCTAATAATATATTAATGTAAACTAAATATTGTAAAATTTTATTTACAATATATTTTATTATAATTAATGTTTAATATATTAATAATATGTTTAATACTAATGTTGTAATGGGTCAAACTAGTGTAGACCAAAAACACTTAACATAGTGTTTTGAAAATGTTTTAAGGGAAAAACACAACACCATTGTGTTTTTCTAACTTATGCCATGTTAGTTCTAATCTACACCATGTTAGTTTACATTGTTGTTTTCATTATAATTTCTCCGTTCGAACTCGGAATGAGGCGATTTAAGATTTGTTGGAAAGCTGTTG